ATTTTAAAATAATATTTCTTCTCATTTTTTTGAGGTAACGGAGATCTGTACAAATCTAATTTTTATCAATGTTATAGTTTAGATTAGGCCCAAGCAATAAAATATTTTAATTTTTTTAAATAAATATTTATTAAAATAATATAATTTTAAAATAATATTTCTTCTCATTTTTTTGAGGTAACGGAGATCTGTACAAATCTAATTTTTATCAATGTTATAGTTTAGATTAGGCCCAAGCTGTAAAACGTTCACACCTTTTCGTTTCAAAATTTGTTATAAATATTGAAGGACAATAATACCCCGATGTCAAAAGACAACATTACCCATCCAGTTTCCGTTACTTGAGTCTCCAGGATCCAGTCAAAACACAGAAGACAGTGACCAGGTGTCTGAAAAGCAACCCTGCATGCCCGCGCAGGACAACACCTGTTGGAACGAAAGAGAGGGCGTTACATTTCAGGAGTTTCAATCCCCTGCACATTCACACTTCATAGCAGAAAGCACAGATTCTGCATCATACCAATCCAACGCCTCAGAATCCTTCAGGGTTCCTGCCATTTATGTGAGCAACCACATTGTACCCTTTCCCCACTGAATCCTTCTTCTTGTCAGAGGTGTAAAGTCTGACAGAACCCATTGATGAGATGACAAGTATGTCTTTCTTAAACTTCCCTTTTCTGGACACCATTTGTTGTATGTTAGTCTCACCGTCAAAGTTCACTCATTTCTCAGTTCCCAGATAGAAAAGAGAAGAGGAGAAGAGGAGAAGGCTTGGGTCTTTAAGCCTGTTCGGATGGCCTCCTCTGCTAATGACAGGACTTGCTTCCATTGCAAAGCTTCTTCTGATGTGTTCAGGCCAGGCTGGGGACGTCGTCTTGGTGGTTATGTCATGCTCTGCAACCGCTGCGCGTGAGCTTCTTATAATTTTTTCAACTTCCCTCTCTATCTGAAGCACCAGTTTCTTGTAGTTTCTTTCAAATGTGTTTTGGTGATGTTAACTTTCTGTTTCTGGTGGCGGTTGTTTTGGGGGAAGGGGAATTTAATTCTGTTCTAATTTCTGTCTTGATTTGTGAATGCTAGTCCTTTGTATTGTTTTGCTTCATCTTTAGATAATTTCATTTCAATGTGATTGTTGTGGATGGGCAATATATGGCCTCTTCGTTTTAACTCTGCCTTTAGTGTGATACATGAGTGTGTTTGAGACTTTGAGTGGAAACATGTTCAATTGTGTTTTTATGTTGTCATCATTTAATTTAATAGCTTTCTGGGTTTTATCAAAAAAAAAAAAAAAAAAAAAACTTTTCGGGTTTTTCATGACTGATAAAATTTATCTGAAGGAGGAAATTGTATTTTTTTTCCTGGTTGAGACACTCAGGCACCATTTATATTGTTCATGATTTGTTAGTTTCATGAGTTGGTTGGCGTTGGAAACTTGGAATAAGCTTTGTAAAGCACCTTGACACTTAGGGAGGTAATTTTCTTCTCTGGCTTGTGCAATTACTATCAAGTAGCAGAGCAACCTACTCATTGAGGATGTTTGGTTCTGGCTAGTAAATGATTGAAACTTAAACCAATGTTAAAAATGTAGTACCATAGTTTATTTATGTGGAGTATGAATCCTGCTTAATATGGACATATTGAAGTTGAATAAGTAAGCTTCCTCTCCAGTGTGTTGCTGTTCAAATGCAGTTAGAAAGAGGGTTATTGGAGTAGCCTCACTGTTCTTTTTTGAGGTTATTACCCAGTGTTTTTCTGTTGTTTCTATTCTCGTTGAAGAACAAGATGAAGAAAAAGGAACAAGACATCTTTGCAGCTGCTGTTGTTATAGACCTTCTAGCTTACTTTTCCTTGTTATTGTATTGCCAATAAAGATCAAGGGGAGGTTGTAGAATTTATACAGGTGAAATGGAGAAAAAGGAAATAATAGAAGTAAGATCTGCCCTTCTTTTCGTTTTTCTCATTGTTTTTGTCAAGTAGTACTGGCTATCAGTGCCTTAACTGCAATTGTTTTTTCTGAAAACTTTCATCCAGTGCTTCTTTTCTGTTTTAATGGTGTAAATCTCATTCTCTCTTTATCTGTCCTTGTTCTATATATTCACTTGTGAACTTTGTAACGAATAGAATGGAAATGATTGTTTCTCCATTTAGATGTTGTCACATTAGGAGTCTTGATAACCAATAGTTAATGGGAACAAAAAATGTTTCTCTAGAAAAGCGGTGACTTACTTATTAGCATCAAAACTCACGCAATTTACCAATTAAAGAAAACATAAAGTTTATGCTTTTGTTGTTAATATTTCATCATCCGAATCCCTAAAGACATCCTCAAATTGTTCCATCAAAACACAATCAACTTACCAATTAATGTATCTAAAATGCAACATGAGCTCAATTGTTCATTACGTGTAGTGTTGGTAGTGCTTATGGGAGTAGTCATTGATACAATACTAAGAACTTCTCCACCTTGTTGGAGTTTTCAACTTTTCCTTCAAAATTTTCTTCTCTGCTCAATGTTTCCTTGAATTATTTATCTTTTGAAAAGGAAAAATTATCTGTTGAAGTTATTTCTTTATTTGAAGCCTTCAGTTTCTTTTTTCACACTATAAATTTAACTACCATTAAAATCTGAATATAATATTGCTAAAACTGGAACAAAAAGTTGACATCTTTGCTACGGCAATGTATTACTATTATACATTAATGGACAGCTGTTTTTGCCAACTAGCAGAAGCAAGTAAAAGTGCATTTTGCTGATGAAAAATGTGAAGGTACTTTTTAAGCATGGCCTTAGCCTTCACTTGGTCTATTGTGAAACTTCAGTTAAGGTTATAGCTAGTGTAGTGAGGTGGTATTGTTCTTACTTAAAATTGAAACGACGTCGTTTTTGTTTTGTGTTTAATCAGCTCTGTATCGTTTTGAATTCAGATTTTGATACGATATCATTTTTGATTTGCTGTTAATTTTTCTGCATGAGTTTCGTTTCTGTGGATGTTATTGTGATAGATAAGCCAGTATTGTAATGGGACTGCATTAGTTCTATAGCTGTAGACCTTATAATATTCTCGATTAATCATTATTTATAAAATGCTTTACTTATAATGTTATCTTCTGAAATATCTATTCATTAGCATGTTTGCACCTTTGCATGTGCATGCATCTTTGTGTCACATAAGAGAGCAACATTGATTTTTGCTAGGTGATTGTTTCATTAATGACACTTCAATAGCAATTAATTGCAGAAATTTGTTGTGAGCATGTGAATGTGGAAGTCTTGGACACTGATGCTTTCCCTTTTGCTCATTTGTGTTCATGTATTGGACTCAGGAATGGGAAAGGGGTGGGGTTACCGTTACCATAGCTTTTAGAATCATACACACTAATACCGAACATGGATTGGTTATATAGCTTGTTCTTTTGTTTCACTTGTTTGTTTGAGATGGTGGTGTTGAAACGCATAATAATGATAATAATTAAATATCCATCTATTTCTCCAAAATATTTTCTCTTTGGTGCTTGTTAATAATTGGCCTATGTTTCCTTTTCTTTTGCATATTCAGCTCTGCTTATGAAGATGGAAGTTTCTGCAGCACTTTTCACCCAGATGCCAGTGGTTGGAGAGTTTGTGCTACTTGTAATAAGGTAAGAAGAAAAATCCTTTTCAGTTGTGTGTTTATTAATGGATTATGTAGGTTTAGCCAGAAAAAAAGGATTATGTAGGTGATTATAGAATTTTTATGTTGGCTTGGACGTTAGATTAAACATATAAAAAATTTTATCTCCTGGTTTCTAGCTTGTATGTTGGTGTTTTAAATAATTATTTTGCTTCCTTTTGCTGCCCAGCCTGTTCACTGTGGATGTATCATGTCAGCCCATACACATACCATATTGGATTTTGGAGGTGTAAGATGCAGGGATTGCGTCTTAAAAATGACTTTGGTAGGAATCAACGGCTTGACACTTGTCTTTTGGACTCTTGGTTCTCATACAACTCTATATGGCTTTTTTGGCTAACCTAAGAATGGATTATTAGTATGAACAAATTTTAGAAGTGAAGATAGAAACCATAACTACTTAGAAACCAAAAAGTTGTGATAAAATTGTTTTGTATTTCAGGCAACACAAAGGCAGAATCTGACTGGCCCTTCTGCGGTTGGACAATCTGGTGAGTCTGAGAAACTGATCATTGGTGATTGCTTCTTCATCTTACCCGGGAAAGAAGAGACATTGAAAATCAATTTGTTCTATAAATAATTAGCAATATTTAAACTTTCTATGTTTATTCATGTGTGTTTCCATGCCTGTATGTGTACTTCCTATGCTTATGAAATAAAATGTCTTGTAGGAGAAGAAAGAATTGAACACTCATTCTACTTCTTTATTTGGGGACCTAGAAGATAAAATAGTACTGTGAATGAGTAGAGATAGATCATAGGCTGGTGGGCAGCTTGCATAGGTTTTACTCACACAATAGAATAGGAATTGTGTGGAAGTAGTTTTTTTTTTTTTTTTTTTTTAGCTTTAGGTAAAGGATGTGCCCCTGGTTGAATGTGGAATGCTGGGAGCCAGTCCATTGATCAGGGCGGAGACCAACACGGATTGCGGTGGTGGCCCAAGCCCAGGCCTTCGAAATGCTTGTGGAGATGTCATCACTGCGATTGTGAACAATGTAGAATAGAAGGTTAAATTGAAGGTCCTTAAATCTGTTTCAGCATGGTGTTTCCCTATTTTGTATTATGCAAGGATAAAGGAGGGAAAGTTGAGGGTTGAAGAGTTCCAGTTTTGGGAACTTCTTCTAAGCTCTGCCAAAATTATGCTAGTTAATATTGAAATTAAGGCAATTCAATTTGTGAGGTCAGTTTATGTAGAAAGTGTTTAATAGAATGATGAATGCTTGCATTCTTCTTTTCTTATCTTCTTAATCCAGACGAATCCAGATTAGTAAACATGCTTCAGCTTTTTAATTTTGTGCAGTTTCAATAGAACTTAAGAAGTGACTTTAGCACTGTTATGTTGGATTTGACTTTTGCAGCAATAATTCCACCACCCAGTCCCAGAGTGACTTATGCATTGCCTAATAAGATCATCTTTAAGTTTGCTTCTGGAGTATCTTCAGCAAAAAAAGATGTTTTGCATGGAGTTGAAGAAGAAGAGCCCTCTGTTAATTCACCTGATGAAATTGATTCTCTCAGTGGTAGAGATGTTGAACAGCCTCAAAAATCGATCACTAGACGGGCTTATGAACATTCTCCAAATATGCCAAAAAGAAGTGATGAGGAGTTGGAAGAACTCTCCAAAGAGTATCCACTAAATTTAAGTTCATTAAATTATGTCATCCTCCCATAATTTTTCCTTTTGAATTTAAATTGGAAGTTTAATTAGTGCCATGATTCTACACTTGTAAAAGTATATGCATTTATCTGTTACCTTTTATCTTTTATTTGAAGTTGGAAGATACTATCTATATCTGCGCTAAATAGCATAGAAAGCCTTACATAACTTTTATGTGGGAGCTTGGTCCCATACTGAATCCTTGACTATATAAGGTCAAAATCTGTTCTCATTCCTCTCTTTGAGAAAGAATTGACTGCCAGTGATACTGAAGCAAAGAACGGGCACCTTGTGCTACCAAAGAGATGTGCAGAGGTGAGTCCTTTCATAATTGAAACTTGTTGAAAGTCTTTAAATTTGTTTGATTGCATTTGCTATGTCTGCTTGGGCATCAGTTGTGCTAAGAGCCTAACTTGCTTTCTGGAAGTATGGCATCCCAAGTCCTGAAGAGACTTGAGAGGTTTATTAACTTATACTGTTTGTTGAGAAGATTATGCTTGTTATTCAGCCAATGATCAAATCTTTCCAGGGCTCAAATGATTTGGTTCCTTTTTAGTATTATTGATTTTCATCAAATTTTGCATAGCATATCTTGCTTATACTTTACCTATTTTAAGGCATATTAGCTGCTGTCTAAGTACTGATCATCCTTACATGGACATGGCACAGATTCAAGTTGCGTATGCTAGAGGTCTTGGCCTCAGGTGTCATCATTTTATGTGATTCATTTTTTATTTTTTATTTTATTTTTTATCCCTCTTTCAATGGAAGATAATTCAGAATCTTATCTGAAAGGAAGAAAATGAGAAGTTGCCTATGAGTTTCCTTTTCTTGTCAAGATGTGAGATATATTCTTGTTATAGTCTATAGTAATTTTCTTTGGAAAGGTAATTTTTACTTTGAGAGGAGAGAAAAGGGGAAATCTTTTCTTTTTCCCTTTTGAAGGAATGAATAGAGTTTTGTTACATTGTATAAAATCTGGATTTGAAAATATTATATTCCTGAAGAGTAATAATCTAGGTCTTAGTTTCATCGTATTAATAGAGAATAAAAATACAGGCTTACCTCCCAAAAGTTACTGCACAGCAACAAGTCCCCATCATGGTGGAGGACACAAGTGGAAATAACTGGCAATTGTACTATAGGATGTGGTCCAATGGTAATGGCAAGATGTATGTCCTTGAAGGGCTTAAAGAGTACTTTAACATGATACAGTGGCAAGCTGGTGACACAGGTAATTACTGTAATTTGCATAATTTTTTGGCCATGTTCTTGGCAAGACATTTTTTATTGATAAGTTGTGATATTCAGTGTATTTTTAATATATACATAATATTTATTTGAACCAATCTTTTGATCCCACTTTT